CCTCATCCGGGAGTGCCGAGAGTCAATCTCTAGAGGTTCCGACGACTTGAGAGTAGGTACGCCGGGTGTAAGTCTGGCGAGTACGATCACTGTTGTCACCCAGGGTGGGTGTGTGAGAAAGCTGAGAGCGTGTCGGAATTGTCATTGTTCAGTTCAGGTGTGGGTAGGAGAAGACTTGAGAAATCAGTCGTTTCCCACAGACGACACCAAATGTTTAATCAAAGAATGACCAAGTCTCCAAGCCTTGGATTGGCTGGGAGGAGCTAGACAGAAAACTCCAAATGCCAAAGGGAGGACCTGTAAAACAGAGTAGATACTCCGATGCTAAAATATTTTTTTCAAGATTCTCACTTTTTAATATAGTATGGATATATATAATAACTGTCAAACCGAACATAACTCGAGTAGTTAAGATATCTATTTCTGACCAAAAGTTTATGAGTTCGAATCTCTACCCTCACGTATTATACTAAAAAAAATTTATAAATATAATAATTTATTAAAGAAAATTGATAAGCCTCCACCGTGGCTACCAAAAAGAGGCGTTCCAGCCTGTCACTACCCGTCTGTCATCATTGCTACTTTTTTCTTTTTCTATTAAATAAAATTGCCAGCCTGTCACTACCAATCTGTCATCGTTGCTACTTTTTTCTTTTTCTATTAAATAAAATTTTAATTCCTTAAAATTGTAAAACAAATTATATTTTTTAAATTTTATTCATTTAATTAGTTCAGTTGGGCTCCTCTTTTATCTTTTTCTCCATCTCAATTATTCTCCTTCCTATACTTGAGCTCTTTCTCCTTCTCCGTTCTTTATTTCTCTTGTTTTTCTTTTTTTCTTTCTACATCTCAACTATTTCTAGTTCTCCCTTCTCTATTTTTTCGTAAAGTTTGGTTTCTTTTCCTTTTCCTCTCTATCTCAACTATTCTCCTTCTCCATTTTCTATTTCTCTTTATTTTTCCTTCTTAAGATTTGGGTTTATTTCCTTCTCACTTTATTCCCTCTCCTATTCTTTGTTGCTAGCCATCTCCTCAACCTTGAATGCTATTGTCAGCGCCTTCCTCTCTCAACTTTGACTCCATGGAGATCAAGAAACAATAACAACTCAAATGATGTACTATCCCACAAACTTAGAAACCACATAAATCGAATTGAATATTCATGTTGGTTTATAGGAAATATGCCGTTCGGTTTAGTTCAAAATTTTCTTTTCTAAATATTAGGTTTCGGATTGGGTTTGGTACTGAAATCGAATTGAATCGAAGTGCGAACACTTCTGGGACCAACTGGTAGGTTGATGAATCACCAATGTGAATTGAGTTGGCTATAAATTGTCCTTGTACCTAATCTCTATGTGGTTAAGAAATGACCATGAATCAAGTTAGTTACGTAGAGAGTGGACATAGAGATGGACATTGAGAAATAAAGGCAAGGAAACTCACATGCAGTAAAGTATTTTAGAAGGATATGGATTCCTATTCATACACACATATCATGAAAGCAAGATTTTATTAATTAATTTAGGAGGATTTGAATTTATCCCATTTTAATTTATTGTAACTTTTTTAGACCAATGAACCACCTTGAATAGTTAACTTGAGTTATATTGCGTTAACCTGACAATTAGGTATTTGATTTTTATGCTTGAATTGACAATTAGATATTTGATTTTTGTTTTCTGATATTGAAAATAGATTAAAATTTCCTTTTTTCGTAAAGAAAATTATTTAAAATTTATTTAATCATATAAAAACTATTAAAATTTTATCAAATTCAAACTATTAAAAAAATTATTTAATCATAGTCCAATTATCAAATATCCTATTTTGTATTAATCAAAGTAATACAAAAAACAATGAGTTGTTAATAGTTTGGTAATTGTTATTATTTAACTATGTATGAATTTGTAACCCTTTTGACACATAAGCTTATGGATTTGCCATTGTGGCTTAGGCCACACACCCGAATGTTGCATTAAGATTTTTTTTTTTATTTATTATTTATTTTTTTTAAAGATCTATGTGAATTATTTTCTGCTCAAATTTGTACTATAGTAGAGAGGAAAATAATCCTCCATCAATCAGCTGGAGATCATTGGCTAGTTCAAAAAGAGGATGTAAAACGTGGGGTATATTGGTACCTTTGCAAAATGAAGAATAATAATAATAAATTAAAAAAATAAAAAATAAAAAAGCTGTGGGGTTGGTATGAGCCCTACATCACAACTGAGATGTCAAACTCTGCCGGCAAATAAATAGAAAAAAAAAAAGTGTCATTTTATTTTCAGTCATAAAAATGTCATTTTTCATCGTAATTGAAGTTTGTTTATCGGCTTTTGTTTGTAAATAAATATCTGGAATGGATGAGAAAATTGATATCTTCTATAATTCGAATTTCAGGAGAAGATATCTCATGACGATTTTTCATAGATGTAGGAATATACGAAACAGAAGATATCTTAATGGCGTTAGGATATCACCTCTATAAATAGAGGGTAAATACTCATAATGAAGGTACGCTATAAATCGCTACTCTTTGCTACATTGAAATACCCTACTCTTCATACTCGACTACTCTGATTTTGACTTTAGTATTGGAGCCTGGGTGGCAGTCACACCGATCTTTAATACTATTATGTCTTGCATGTCTCATCTCTTTTATTCTAGAAGATTGGTTCAAATTTGGCAAATCCAGGAGGCCAATTTCGACATCAACAATTGGCGCTGTCTATGGGGACGACTAATCGACATCGATTATGCAGGCTGGCCACAACTCTCTGGCGACGAATGCCATATGACTCAGGTACTGCTCCTACCTGAGGTAGCGAAGGGAAAAGCAAATCATAAGTTCTAAGGCAGGACCTAGAACAAACGAATCAACAAAATTCCAGGACAGATCCTGGGTAAGTTAATCAACAGCTGGTTAAAGAACTCGAATTGAGACAAACCTAGAAGCAGACCGATAAGTTAAAAACCAGTGAAACCGGGGAAGAGAATCCCAAAGGTGCTGAAAGGGATGTCAGGCCCAACAAGGTTAAAACATAAAGCAGGTATACCAAACCAATCAACGAAACCCAGGTTATAAAACCATTTGGCAAAAGCCAAAATAGGTTAGAAACCAAGAGTATTCATTAAACTCATGGTAAAAAACCGGTAGAAGTCAAATAGGTTAGAAACCCAAGGGTGCCAACTAAACTCAGGGTATAAAATCATTGGCGAAAGCCAAATAGGTTAGAAACTAGGTATAAAATCATGGGCAAAAGCCAAATAGGTTAAAAACTCAAAGGAAGTACACTGGCCCTGCTCAAACTTAGATCCCAAGGTCAAAATCTAATGGTTAAACACAATTGTATAGCAAARAGACTTGATTGTAGCCAACTACAACAAAATAGAATAGGGGCTAGGAAAGTCAGCCCATAAAGACGACAACCAACAAAGCCAGCCCATAAAAATCACAACCAACAGCAACCAAAAAGAGGGCTATTCCATATAGTCAAGCCATGAGCAACAAAATAGTCTCAAAGCAGAAGTCTGACAATCTTCAACTTTGAAATTGGGGCTATTATTATGGATGAGAAAATTCATATTTTCTATAATTTGAATTCTCTTAAAAAATTCAAGAGGAGAAGATATCCCTGTAGTCTTAGGATTTTCCTAGATTTATGAGAATATATTTATATTATATTCGAAAGGAGAATGTATCCTAACGAAGTTAGGCTCATTTTTTAAAAAATACACAAAAATCACTTGGAGAAAAAGATGGAGGGTATGTTTTTAGGGTGATGGTATAATGAGTTTGAAAAAAGAGATTGAAATATAATTGATTTTCCAAAATCATTATTCAAAGTTATACCTTAAAAGTCAATTTAAAGTAATTTTTTGAAAATCAAGTATAAACTTTCCTAAAATAAAATTTGGTATTTGTCAAACATGATTTTGAATATGGAAAAAGTGATTTTGGTCATGTTAAAATCACTCCCAAACACTACCAAAATGAAGCCGGAGGGAGTTGATTCTCGGTCAATCACCTGCCTAAAATCATCACCCAACTACTATCCAAAAATCAATTTTAAATGTGTTTAAATTTTTATTATATTTTTTTAATTTGGCAGCTATGATTGGAATTAATTTTGACAATAACAAAAATGATTTGGGTCACGCCAAACAAACTCTTGACATGATCAAAATCCCTTTTGCCATTGTAAAGACCACTTTTTTTTTTTTTTTGAATTGATCGTGTTTGACGAATTAAAAAATTGATTTGAAGAAAGCTTACAATCACTTTAAAATGATTTTAAGGTATATGTATATAAAATCTGCTACTTCTATCGTAGGAATAAATGGAAAATAATGAGAAATTTGAAAAAGGAATAAAAATAATAATGTAACCGAATTTCTCTCTCCGACTCTAACTACACAAAGCAATTGACATGATTAAAACCCAAGTCCATGAATTCTTTTTGTAGTAGTTGTAACACACTTATTCGTTATACTTTTTCGATGTGAGACAACTTCTACTACTGGGTGAGCACACTCTTTCTTCATATCTTTTTGACGTAGGACAAACTTCAATTATAATATTTTGTAAAAATCCAGCCAAGTTTGCATTAGTTCAAATGTAAATTGAGGTTTATGATTAAAATTATAATGTGGTGTCATTTTTTTGTAAGACCAAAGCTGATGATAAGTTTATGGAAGGATAGGACAATAATGAATGAGACACCATTACTTTGTAGTGGACTAAAGGTGGTCCTTGCATCGACGTTTTTTGTGGTCCAAACCTGACAAGGAATGAAATTCACACATGCCAGAAAAAAGAAAAAAAAAAAAAAAAACTACATGAAACGAATGAATTAGGATATTATATATAGTTTTGTTATCTGAATATTGTAATACAAAACAATTATAATATAATGCCTCTTCCTTGTGTGCATTCGATTTTCCTCTCCACCACCGTTGCCGGAAAATTTCCTCACCACCATGCTCTTCCATTGGTATTCTTATTTATATTTAATGTTTTTATTTATTTATTTTTCAAATAACTAATTCTAGATTTTTGAACCAATCTTAATTCTTTGCTGCTCTGTAAGGCCCATCGCTATTGAGGGCTGTTTGGTAACCCTCTCGTTACTTATTTCTTGTTTATATTATATCTTTTGAATATTATTTTAACTAAATATAAGAAAAACCAACTTGAGTTTGGATATATCTCCAATCAAGATGTTGTAAGTTTGAATCCAAACCCTCATAAATTATTATACTAAAAAAACTAAAAGTAAAAGTAAGGAACCACAAATAGTTATCAAATACAAGAAATAGAAATGGTTATCAAACGTATTTAAAAATTAAAAATATGAAACGAAAAACGTTACTAAACAGCCCTAATTTACTTGTTTTTTGTTTTACTAAAAGTTCTCTTATTTATTTATATCATATATTTACTGCTTGTGACACGTAAAATACTCCAGCGGAATTCTGTTGGTATGAGCGTAAAAGCATCAAGAAATACTGAAGATGTTATTGTGAGGCAGTCTGCAAAATACCATCCTCCTATTTGGAATGACCAATTTATTCAGTCATTACATAATGAATTCAGGGTATGTATATGCACTTTTTTATATACTTTTTTTAATTAAATGCATGCTCATTTCTTTTCTATTCGGGCCAACATAACAATTCTAATATTAATACTCTTACATGTTAGGATGCATGAAAAAAAACAAGATAATAATAATAATTATACCATGTGAGCTAAAAAAATATTTATTTAAAAAATCTTTTAATTTTTTATTTAGTACAGCATGTTGGGGAGGAGATTCGATATCATAATCTCTCGATTGGACATATATGTCAATTAGTGCTGAGCTATCATCGCTTTGACAACTAAATATTAATCGATAATAACATTTAACTGTTATTATTTTTAAATTCGATGGAAACACTTTTGAGGAAAGCATTATCCAGTGCTTTCAAATTTCACTCTAAATTGCTTTTGAAGTGTTTCTAAAATTTTCAAAAGCATTTTTTTCCCATCTAGAAAAAAGTTAAAGATAAAATGTTAAAGTTGATTTAAATTACGTAAGATTAAATTTAAACTATTCTAAAAATTGCGTAAAAAATATTCTTATTATTATAGTACTTTAGATGAAAGCAAGTGTTATCACAGAAAGAACAAGATATTAAAGAATATACAACAAGAGCTATAACATGAGCTATCAACAAGTTTGTATAAATTAAAAAGTGTTATTAAGGTGCTATCAATTCATGTCATTTTCAGGGAGAAACATACGGAGGACGGTTCAACCAATTGAAAGAACAAGTTAGGACGTTGCTCAAAGAAAGAAATGACTCTTTGGAGCAACTTGAGCTAATCGATACTTTACAAAGACTTGGAATATCATACCACTTTGAGAGCGACATTAAAGATATCTTGAAAAGAATATACAACAAGAGCTATGAAGATGTGGGGACGATGAATAATCTTTATGCTACATCTCTTATCTTTAGACTTTTGAGACAACATGGATTTAATATTTCAGAAGGTATCAAATCACTTATTATACAAATCATACAAGTAGGTTGCGACCAACGGTCAACATTTTATAAGTTTGACAAAATTTTATTTTTTAAATTGTAGAGGTTTTCAATGTGTTCAAAGACGACACAGGAAATTTCAAAACATGCTTTCACAACGATACAAATGGGATGTTGTCTTTATATGAAGCTTCCTTCTTATCAATCAAAGGTGAAAATGTTTTAGACGAGGCAAAGCACTTTACAGTCAACTTTCTTAATGAATACATGAAATCGAGCGAAGATGAACTTGAAGTAGACATTGTAAGGCGTGCCTTGAAGATTCCCATACATTGGAGGATACCAAGATTAGAGGCAAGGTGGTCTATTGATATGTACGAGAAAAAAGGAAACATAAATCCTATTCTTATTGAAATTGCTAAACTAGATTTCAACATGCTACAGTCGATCTACCAACAAGATCTTAAATATGCATCGAGGTAAGAGTAGGTCACACTACGTATTATTTATTTATTTATTACTATTAACATGATTATATTTTGCATTTTTGAATGACTTGCTATTATTTTCGGTGCATGTAAAGTTGGTGGACAAGCACGAAGCTGGGAGAAAAGTTGAGTTTTGCAAGAGATCAGTTGATGGAAAATTTCTTTTGGACAATAGGCATGGGATGTGAGCCAAAGCTTGAGTATTTTAGAAGAATGGGAACAGAAGTTATTGCATTGATAACAATAATAGATGATGTTTATGATGTGTATGGTACATTGGACGAGCTCAAACTCTTTACCAACACTATAGACAGGTAAGTAATGTTCTATCAATTAGTTTATTGGTCCAATATTTATGTCATTAACTTCAAATAATTAAATTTATGTAGGATTGGGAAACATCTTTCTAAACTCTAAATAGACCATGAATTACAGGAACACGATTGATATTTAATTGTCATCTAAATTTTAATTTCAGATGGGATATTGCTTCAATGAACCAGCTCCCAGAGTATATGAAAGAGTGTTTTTTTGCCATCGACAATTTGGTAAATGAGATAGCTTCCGAAGCACTAACAGACCATGGAGTTAACGTCATTCACTACCTTAAGAAAACGGTATGAACTTATTACAGAAAATTCATTGACTTTGATAAAATTATTCTCTAACATATGTTGTCAAAATTTTATGGCTCAGTGGGTAGACTTGTGCAAATCTTATCTACTAGAGGCAAATTGGTATCACAGCGGTTATAAACCTACATTACAAGAATATATGAACAATGCATGGATTTCGGTAGCAGGACCAATTATGCTACTTCATTCGTACGTTTTTATTACACCTCTAATAGCCAATGAAGATCTAGAGAGCTTGATAGAATATGCAGATATAATTCGTTGGTCATCAACAATTATGCGACTTGCAAATGATCTATTGACACCACTGGTATGTGAATATAATTCAACAAGCACGCACCTGTTTTTTTTTTTCTTTTTAATAAGCTAACAATTTGTTATAATGTTTTATCATTTAGGATGAACAAAAGGTAGGTGATGTTCCCAAATCAGTTCAATGTTGCATGAATGAGATGGGTGTCTCTGAGAACCGTGCTCGTGAAAGTATAAGAGAGTTGATAGATGAGTTATGGAAGAAGTTAAATGAGGTTGAAGATGAGAATATTGCTTTGCCTCCCACGTTCATCGAGACGACAAAGAATCTTGCTCGAATGGCTCAGTTTATGTATCAATATGGAGATGGACGCACTATAGATCAAAAACAAAACAAAACACCGCTTGGTGTCTCTTCTCGTTGAACCAATTATCAATCTTTAGTAGTACAACAGATAATAGTGTCATTTTAGATCAGACATGTGTCTTAAAGATTGTTTTTATGAACAGGTTATTTATTGAAGGGATGTTTCAAAACTAAGTTCAGGGTAACTTAGTGGCACCAAATGTGGTGGCACTAAGGAAGCGGGATGATAGCTTCTAAATTTAGGGAAGCACTATCTTAGTGGACTAGTAGGTCTAGTTAATGGTCATGTACACGCTATTTATGTTATCGTTGTAAGCTTATATAAAAGTACAACATCATCCATTTTCAATCAATAAAAACTAGTGCATTATAGTTTTCTCTTCATATTAGTTTGTCTCCGTATTTAACTTTTACATAGTTTCTTTAGCACCCATTATCGCATCCCTTGCTACTGTATACGTTGTAGATTTAATTTTTCTAGCGCCCACCAAACTCTATGTTCTAACTTCAGTGGAAGATGAGAGGCTTTTCCAAATACAAGTCTGTATGTTGATGTGCCCAATGGAGTTATGCAGGTAGTGTGGTAGAGCATCATCCAACTTAAACTCCCAATCCTTCCTACTGGTGTATTAACCACTTTCGTCAAAATTTATGTTATCTCTTTGTTCGAGATCTCAACTTACCAATTTGGTTGAGGGTGATAGGTAGTTGAGATCCGATGCTTCATCACATTGTATTTGGACAAAAGGTTGGCCACGATGATCCTGTTAATGGAAAGGGATCCTTTGTTGCTGATCAATGCTCGTGGTGTTCGAAAACGGCTAAATATATTATTGTGCAAAAAATTTTACAACAACATTGACATCATTTGAAACACGAGCTATTGCTTCCACCCATTTAGACACATAGTCTACTACCATCGACATTTACAGATTTCCATTTGAAGGTGGAAATTGTCCCATTAAATCAATCTCCCATATATTAAACAATTATACCTCTAGCATATAGTTTAATGGCATATCAGCTCTGTTCGAGATGTTACCCACTATTCAGTATACGTTCCAGTTTTTATTCAATGCGTGGGAACCCTTGAATATAGTAGGCCAATAATACCGGCTCTGAAATACCTTTGCTTTTGTTTTATACCCACTATGTCCTCCATGGGACAACACATGATATTGCTCCAACACTTACGATACCTCGACATCTGCTACACACTTCGTAAGAATATGATATTAGAATCGTCTATACAGATATGGATCATCCCAATAATATAATTTGTTTTCATGGAAAAACTTCTTTAATTGTTCCTTACTCAATTATTTTGGTAATATCTCGCAAGTTAAATATTTCGCGAAATACACAAACCAGGGAGCTTCACTCTGTTCACCATGACTGATTTCTAATATTTTTCTCGTTAGGGAAAGCATCTCTGATTTTTGGCTGCTCTATTTTGTACCCTTCCAATTCCACCCTTAAGGGATGATTAGCTACCAAGTTTTTTAATGCCTTTTTGTCTCGAATTTAAGTATCAAGACTCTTGAAGCAATAATACACATTAAATGAGTCTTGGCTTGACATTTTTCTTAGCCATTAGGTACTTTATAGCTGAGCGGTCAATGACCACCACTTTGGTTCCTACCAGATATGTTGTAAACTTCTACAAATAAAATACTACCGCCACTAACTCTTTTTATGTTGGTGGTATAGTTCATCTGTGCCTTCGTAAGAGTTTTGTTGGCATAATAGATGGGATGTAGTAGCTTCTTCTTTTGTTGCCCTAGCATCACATCCACTACATAGACACTCGCGTTGCACATGATTTCGTCCAGTTCAGAGCAATTACAATTGGAGCATGTGTGAGAGCCTTCTTTACCGACTCGTAAATTTCAAGTAAGTACAAAGAGGTTTTGAGTTTTTAGAAAAATACTCTAGGAATCTCTTGTTCCTGCTTGGCCTAGGAAAGTGTGCAGTCCCTGGTTTGTTGTAGGTGGAGATAACTTCTCTATCACCTTGATCTTTGTCTTGTCAACCACATTTCCCTTTTTGATACATAATGTCCTAGCACAATCAGTTCTTGAATAAACGAAATGACATTCGTTCCAGTAAGGACAAGATTTGTTTCTTCACAACCTTCTTCAAGTTGAGCAAATAAGCTGTGAAGGTTTCTCCAAATATCAAGAAATCATCCATAAATATATCAATAACTTATTCCACTAAATTTGAGAATATGGCCATCATACAACACTAGAACGTTTCTAAAGCATTGCACAGTCCAAAGGACGTTGTTCCAAGAGCAAAGGTGCCATATGGACAGATAAATGTTGTTTTCTTATGATCCTTCGGCTCAATGGTAATATGATTGTTTCCGCTATACCCATCTAGAAATAAACTATACTTTTGACCAGCATGTATGTCCAACATTTGGTTAATGAAATGCAACGTGAAGTGAACTCATGGGTTGAATTGTTCAGCTTTCTATAGTCAATGCAAATCTACCCCTCAATAATAGTTTTGTTGGAACAAGCACGGTTTTTTTGTTTGGAACCACCGTCATTCCTTTTTAATTTGGCACTCACCAAAGAGAATTTAACCATTAACTGCCAAATATTTAGTAGATTATTCCAGCATTCGGCCACTTGCTCATCTCTTTCTTGTCCACTTCTTTCATCACTAGATTTAACCACCTTTCCAGCTAAATTGGATTCTTAGTAAAAACTAAGGATAGAGACACCATAGAGACATACACGAGAAGAGAGAGAACAGATAAATTCTCAAATTGATTGATCAAAGATGAGGAATAGAGGCACTCTACCAGAGGAAACAAAATCTAGGAATAACCTCCTAACTTCTAACAAAAAAGGAGATTTATTTGCTAAATTTAAACACAAAATCTAAAAAAGTTTAAAACAACTTCTAACTAAGTCCACATAATCTTAACTTCTAACTAATTCAACACTTAGACCAATCCTCCAAGCAAATTTTTTTGCATGGAAAAGCTTGGACTAATTCCCTTTCTATCTGTTAAAATCCAACCTATTGACATTCTAAGCTCCCTCACGATATCTTAGCAGTTCGAATTCTTTCTGTTGTGTCAAATTTTCTACAATTATAATACGCAGCGCCTCAGCATCACCTAATTGTTTAGCATATCATCCAAGATGCGCAAACTATAAGATTCTTCAAAAGTAGTAGGATATTTCATGAAATTACCTCTCGATCATGCACACGCATTGTGAACTCACATTTGTGCACATCCAGCAATGTCTTTCCTGTTGCAAGGAAAGGTCTCCAATATGATGATTCTAGAGTGTAGGGAAATAGCCTTTACTAGAGTTAGAGCAAGATCCAAACTACTCTCTTTTGTTTGCGAGGTAGATGTAAATGGAATGAATTATACGAAGTGTTTAAAATATAGGTGAACACATAAAGTGAAGCTTGATGCAAGATGTGCTTCTCAGTAGGACAAAATGTTTATTTTCAAGATTATATGTATAGTCTTGCTAGAGAAAAAGCAAGATCTTAAGTTTTGGGGGTGTGATTACTCTCCAAAAGAGAGTAACTGTGACATTATGTTGGGCTACATTGAGTGTAAATGAGAGAGTTGTAGCTATAAAATCTTACCAAAATAATCTTACCAAAATAAGGAATTAGGTGAGAAATGGAGAAATCATACATGACATCGTTGTTGTATAAATTTTGGAGAAATTTTATCTCATCTATATTGTTTTTGGTTGTCTTTATAGAATTTGGACGTATTGAAGGAATAATAGTAGTAAAAGCATGAATTGCTTGGACTTTCAAAAGTCAGAGCGCCTAATACCGGAACATTGCTTGCGTCAAACATACATGTGCAGCGCAATAACTTTTACTCATGCGGAATTTACCAGTATATGTACAATTTTTTCTCGTTGTCTTAAAATTGAGGGCCGATATCAAAACTCAATTATGGCCTACCGACACAACAAAATCCAAGGAGGAATACTGCCAAACGGAGCAAAATGACAGAGCAGTTGGATATTGCATTTTTGAGAGGAAATTGAAAAAGGAAGTTTGGAAACCACAAATTTTTTTATGAGAGCTGAAGACTTTTAGTTATATTTCTTTAGCTTTCACCACCCTAGGAGGGGAGTCCATCCTCTCATCTCCTGCCGGCAAAAGCATGGGGATGTAGTCAGGAACATGGTAGTACAGGTCCTCCTTCGCCACCATCTACGAAACATGAGCCACTGAGGGGCGATTATCAACAGTAGGAGCAATTTTGTGAACAACCATGGCGATTTTGAAACTCTAGAGAACCCAGGGAAAGGAAGTCTAAGGGAGGTGAAGGTAAAGAACCATCGCCCTCCCCCCAAAGCGAGTTTAAAGCCCTCTCAAGCGTCATTGGGAATCTCAATGAATGCTCAAAATTGCAACCGCCATCTACACCACTTTGCCTGGTGCACAAGGGACGAACCACCCTCGAAACGGTGATAGACATGTGTCCCCTCATTAATGGGGATGTACCGGTGGACATTTTGCTGTCACGCCTCCTAACTAGCCTGGCCCCAAATATGGATACGAAGAATATATTTCTACCACATAATCTACACGCGCTTCGATCCACTTTAACGTTTTCGGACCCAGCCATCCTTGGCAGGATAACCCGACTACGAAAGAGGGCTAATTGTGGAGGTATAATACCGAGCAGACACGTGCTGAACCTAGGAGCGACAACGAGGCACGGGACCACAGATGATTATCACCGTACTTTGTGCTGACGTACAGACGTGTGACCGCCACTGCCGGACGGGGAGACTCCAAAGACTGTAGTCTGAAACTTGCAAGCTCCAGGTTTCAGACCTACAGATGAAGGCACCACCCACTATTTGTTGGGAGCATCCACCTTTTCGTCAGAACCTCCACCATAAGAAGATTGAGTTGTTTCGACAACTTTTTATCAAAGGTTGTTGAAAACCTTCGAAAATTATCAACAAATATTTAAAGTCTCTGAGAAATATATGATCTTTTATCGAAGGTTTTAGAAAACCTTCGAAGATTATGCAGTTTTTATCATAGGTTATTAAAATCCTTCGAAAAAGATACACATTTATCAACAAATTACACAAACGTTTGGAAATTGAGTTATCAATTATCGAAGATATTTTAAAGACCATCGAAATTATTCACTATTTTATTGAAGGTTATTGAAAACGTTTGAAAAACAATACATTTATCAACAAATATTTTAAGCCTTCGAAAAATATATGATCTTTTTATTCGAGGTTTTTAGAAAACCTTAGAAAATTATGCATTTTTTTTATCAAAGATTATTAAAAACCTTTGAAAATTAGTATATTTATCTACATAAATTTTTTTCTTTTAAATTATGTACCTTTTATCAA